GATAGATAGATAGATAGATAGATAGATAGATAGATAGATAGATAGATCGATCCTACAGCTGGGCATTGACAAATGAGTGTGAAGAGGTCAATGTGTAAGAGTGGAATCCCTGGGTTTTGTGACTAGTTGGAGAGAAGGAAATAAATAAGATCCGGTTTGAAGGCTTTGAGCTTGAGATGTCTGTGGGAGAGCATCCGAGAGCACGCACCCCACTACTTCACCCCATAGCCTCACTTGCTTACTCTCATCTAACCACTTTCAAACACACCCATACAAGGGCTAGAGTGGTTGAGTCATAGTAGTTAAAAATCAACTTCAAGCTGGGTGAAGTGTGGCGTGCCTGTAGTCCCAGCTACTAAACAGGCTGAAGGGCAGGAGAATTGCTTGAGCCCAGGAATTCAAGGCCCCCGTGGGCAATAGAGACCCTCCTCTGTTAAAACAAACAAACAAACAAACAAAACAACAAAGAAAAACTCATCTTCCTAGGCTCTTTTTTCCTCTTGGGGAGACAGCGGTTGGTTCTGTTGCCCAGGCTGGAGTGCACAGCTCACCACAGCCTCAACCTCCTGGGCTCCAGCCTTAACCTCCCCAGTAGCTGGGACTACAGGGGTGCAGCATCATGCCCGGCTCATTTAAAAAAAAAATTTTTTTTTTTTTTGGTAGCGACAGGATCTGGCTATGTTACCCAGGCTGGTCTCCAACTCCTTGGCTCAAGCAATCCTCCCACTTTGGTCTCCCAAAGTGCTGGGATTACAGGAGTGAGCCACTGCACCCAGCCTCACAAGCCCTTTTCTTAGCAGGCTTTCTTGAAAATTATTTTTGATCAACAAAGACAGGCGCCTGTTTGGGGAGCAATGGATGGTGTGGTGTGTCTCTATTATTTAGACACATTTTTTAAGTTCAGCTCTCCGTAAACTTGGAACTTAGGAATCATGTGATTGTTTCAACAAATACACCATTCACTTAAGATTTTTAACCAGCCTATACCACTTCATCCCCACTGTGGCCCCTTGCAAAATAAATAAATTTAAATATATATGTATACACATACATTTTTTATTGATAATGTCAGGAAAAATTGTCCAAAACTTGGAAATGGGCAAAAGAGATTGCTGGGTATCCTTTCAGTGGGGTGCTGGGTGCACCTTCGCTGGACTTCCTGTTGACTAGGCTATTTTGCAGCACTAGAGGGCTAGAAATTAACTTGCCGAAAACTGATGATAATGCAAAAGATTTATGTCCATAGCAGTGAAAATGAATGTTTTCCAGGAGAAATGTAAGTGATCAGTCCTTTCTGCCAGAAAATAAATAAGTTAAACCCACTAATTTCATTTTGTCCTATATAATATTAACTAGTTAACCAGTTTGGCACCTATTAGCAAATTCATGTCATTATTCCTGATGTCAGATTTTCCTTTGAACCTTAACATCTTACTAATTTTCCTTTGAGGTCAACAACTTACTGAGTCCTCCATTAATCAATTACTTGAATAGAATCTTATGTAGGTTTTCATCTTATAGTTGCCTAAGTCATGTTTTTAATTTTTTGAAAATTACATTTCAGTACAATCCATCTTACTCTATATTCCACATTAGATTGTATGACTTTCATCTTTTCATTGGCTCATTTTTAAATTTCAAATACATATTTTTGGTTTAAAAAAATACTTCTTACTCAATGGTGAGTTCATTGGATCACATAATGAAAAATTATCTCCTCATCCAACAGTATTTGTCACAAGAATTAAAACGGAATATTTTAACCAGTGTTAAATTTGGAGGAACAGTGGGATTATTGCTGACAAAGTATTTGACTTAAGAAAAATGTTCTTTTAAGAGAGCATGGTTAATACACCAGCATTTTCTTAAAAAGAGCTTGAAAGACGCTTTCTTCTTCTCCTTCCCCCTCTCCTCCGTTTCCTCCTCATTCTTCTTCTTCTTTCTTTAATACAGGAGGATCTCACTCTGTCACCCAGGGTGGAGCGCAGTGGTGCAATCATGGCTCACTACAGCCTTGACCTCCCAAGCTCAAGCGATCCCTCCACCTCAGCCTCCCAAGTAGCTGGGACTACAAGCACATGCCATTATGCCCATCTAATTAAAAAAAAAAAAAAAATGTAGAGACAGGGTCTTGCTGTGTTGCCCAGGCTAGTCTTGAACTATTGGTCTCAAGGGATCCTCCTGCTTCAGCATCCTGAAGTTCTGGGATTGCTGTTGTGAGCCACCATGCCTGGCTGGGACTTAGTGTTTAGTGGGTATCGACTTTCAGTTTTGCAAGATGAAAAAAGTTCTGTGGATGGATAGTGGTGATGACTGCACAACAATGTGAATGGACCTAACGCTGAACTGTACACTTAAAAATGTTTGTTTGTCTGCTTATTTTTGAGACAGAGTCTCACTCTTGTTGCGCAGGCTGGAGTCCAATGGCATGATCTCGGCTCACTGCAACCTCTGCGTTCCGAGTTCAAGCGATTCTCCCGCCTTAGCCTCCCAAGTAGCTGGGATTACAGGCATGTGCCACCACACCTGGCTAATTTTGTACTTTTAGTAGAGATGGGGTTTCACCATGTTGGTCAGGCTGTTCTCGAACTCCTGACCTCAAATGATCCACCAGCCTTGGCCCCCCAAAGTGCTGGGATTACAGGCATGAGCCACCACGCCTGGCCTTAAAAATGTTTAAAATTGGCTGGGCACAGTGGCTCACACATGTAATCCCAGCACTTTGGGAGGCCGAGGCAAGTGGATCACAAGGTCAGGAGATTGAGACCATCCTGGCTAACCCGGTGAAACCCTATCTCTTCTAAAAATATAAAAAATTAGCTAGGCGTGGTGGCGGGCACCTGTACTCCCATCTACTCGGGAGGCTGAGGCAGGAGAATGGCGAGAACCCGGGAGGCAGAGGTTGCAGTGAGCCAAGATTGCGCCACTGCACTCCAACCTGGGCAACAGAGACTCCGTCTCAAAAAAAAAAAAAAAGTTTAAAATTGTTTTTAAAAATTCAATGACAAAAAATATACATGCCAATTTTTATTTTTATTTTATCAGATAGGCAAATATTAAGGACTTTCCAAATTAATTTTGGTTCTGGCAGATCTATATGGGATCAATTTTACAGGAAAGACACCTTGGAAAGCCCCATTTTCCCAATATTCCTGAGACATAAGTGAATGGGATTTTGGGAAAACTCTGAGAGGACTCTGGGGAGCCACGGGTATGGGGAGGCGGAGGGCGGGCAAATAGAAAAATTTCATTCTGAACACCGGTTCAGTATCTCTAGGGAGATTTTCCCCCAAGCTGCTCTTCTCAGTGTGGGATTCCAGTGTGAAGAGGTTTGGGGTCTGTCCAGTAGGTTCCCATCTGGCTACAAGGCCAGAAGAAGAAGCAAGGAGGGAGATTGGATACTAAATATCCTGGGACACTCCTGGAAAAAAATCCATTCTTGCTTACCACACTCCTGACCATAAATGATATACAGAGACTGCTTTCGGACAGCTCCTGGCAGGCTTGCAAATTGTATTTTTGTTTTTAATTTAATTTATTTATTTAGAGACAGAGTCTTGCTCTGTCGCCCAGGCTGGAATGCAGTGGCGCGATCATAGCTCACTGCAACTTTCAACTTCTGGGCAAAAGCAATCCTCCCGCTGCAGCCTCCCGTAAATTGTAAATATATTGTTTATTTGTGGTATTTTAGGAATGGCTTGAATATCTAATTGTAATGAGTTTAATATACTCTAGGGTTGCACTTACTGCTCGAAGTTTGCATTAACAGAAATAATTTAAATATTTGAAGCCTTTGAATTATATTGGCTGAAAACTCGTGTGGTGTGTTTGAAACAAAGTAACAGTCCCTCTGTAACAGTCTGCTCCACCCCCACCATGTCTAACCCTGGCTGACTCAACATCTGTGAAAACCCCAAGGCCACCTTCAAAAAAGCCACATTGCCCCTCCCAGAATGGAGTAATCATCTCAAGCAGATTTGTAAAGCCTGATAACAGGGACCTGTCCCTCCGGAGAAATGCCCCTGCTGATGAAGTCTCTAACTCAAACAAAGGCAGACTTCTCATTTTTTGAAGCTTAATGACTCTCAGATACTTTGTTGCTATTGGAGAAACAGTAGGATTACTGCTGCCTTCTCCAGCATACCTCTCCCTCCCGCAAGACACACACACATACATCAAACACCCCACCTGGAGTTAGTTTGTAGACCT